TATACGCTATATCATTAAATAAGGAAATTAATAAAATTAAAGTACCTACAATTACGCATTCATCATATCTGAAGAGTCTTTGATCATTAATTTATAAATAAAGTTGGATTTATAAATTGGCACTGTTTATTAGGGATATTTTTCCGCAGTAAAACGTAGCCTATGTGTTAATCCAGGGTGTCAGGTAACTCCATACCAAATTATATTAAAATAGCTCCAGCCGTTTAGACGTGAAGAAGCAACAAACATACACACTCACAAACTATCGCCTTTATAATATTAGTGTGATATAATGTATTGTTTATCTATAATAACAATTTGTCAGTTACAAAATTATAACATTTAAATACTTACGCAAATCAAATAATATACATAATACAAAATAATAAAAAAAATAAAAAACTAAAGAAAATGTTACTAGAAAAATCTCCACGCGGACCAGGCAGCAGACGGGACTCGAACCCGCACCTTTCGCTAAAAATGTGAAGGTTACGGATTCGAGTCCCGTCTGCTGCCTGGTCCGCGTGAATTTTTTTCTAGTAAAGTTTTTTAAAATTATCAGAAAATCTTTTACTCTAAAGTAATGCTAAACGGATCGTCGAATTAAAATCGCGCGCATTTAACTTTAGAACGCGCCATTGTACTCGAAAGTAATTTCCCTGGGGTTAGTGCAAACACAAACGCCTGGCGGAGACAGCACTCTGCACTGGCAGGACGCGAACGCGAGCGGAGTGACGTCCGAAGCAATATTTTAACTTCATTGTTTTGCTTATCAGCAGCCATTTAATACCTTAGCTGGCGATTCGATTATGCATGCAAGTTTGAAAATTGTTCATAATACAAATCATTTGGCATTAGTAGGTAATAAATAATAGTTAGGTTCATATCTGGCTATGCTTATATGCTTAGAGAAGATCGTGGTGGTTAAGCAACTTTACAATAGCCGTTCATAGGATAGGTGACCACAATTTTATTATCTTGAACTCCTCCGTACGTTAAGGCTTTGGTCCCAGCTCAATCTGAGGTCGCTGGCTACGCACAAATCCGCATTGGGGCCGCATGATGGGTCATTTTATCCATAATCAATTCGTATGGATGGCCTGTACCCCAGCAGTGGAGTCATTTAAAGGCTGATGATGATGGCTAGATTTATTAAACATTTTTAATAGCCATTTTTTTGATCAGGTAAATAAATATATTTTCGTGTCATTATAAATATGAACAAACACACACACAATATTTATAGAATTATACCTTCTCTTTCCCAGAAAAATATAACATAATATTTAAGTATGTACTTTTGAAGTTGGATTTTAACCAATATGTCACATTTTGTGACTAAAATGTCCGGACTTTTATCGAGGTACTTGTTTCGAAGAAAAGAACTAAGATATTTCTTACCCCAACTGGCTCTTCAATTCGACCGAAAAAATGCTGCTAAACCCTCTTTTGAACAATTTAAAGATGTGATAATATAATAAAAAGCAGAATTAACAAAGAAGACAGGCGTTAGTTTAAACAGCAAAAAAATCAATGATACCTAACTGAATATTAGATCTACCAGCATTCAAATGTAAAATGATTTTTAGTTCGATAAAGTTAATTTATATCCTGTTACATAAGGAAACCGAACCCACATATTGTCCTAAATCTTTTTATTACCAAAATAACAAATATTTGTTAACACGAAACTGTTTACCAAACATCAAATCGTTAGCAAACGCCTGCTCTTTCAACTTGGCTTAAGTGGGCCACTATTGGCGATCAAAGACTGGTTTATTTTCGAAGTACTTTTAGAAGAAAGTGACCTCGTAATGTTTGTTTGATAGATCTGGCTGAGCGCATGGACGTACAATATGACGGCGTCGAGTTATGGTATTGTGACCTATAAAGTTTAATGTTCTGGTTGTGCGATAAATGCAACTTCCTACATCTTCTCAAAATATAGGTATTACAAAATTTTATGGGTAACTAGTAGGTATTATAAATTAAAGAGTAAGTCTGTCCATGTTGACGCCTAAACTGTTGAACCCGTTTTGAAGAAATATTATTAATAGCAAGAAATGAAGTCTTACATTTATGTCTTTTGTCGTCATTGTCAGGTAAACTATAATAAGCTCTTGGCCAACATTTCACACTCAACAGTAACAATGTTCCGATATCCATGCAAAGGAAGTCGCGGCCACAGCTAGTGTTGAATAAGGTTTCTTTCTGCCGTCGTGCTTTGCCTTAGTGCTCCATGACCTTAACACAACCCCAGACAAAACTAAGCATAAAATGAAAATTCCACCATACAATGCACAGTGTTTTATGGAACCAAAAAAATTTACACCTTAAGATTTTTGCATAAATCAATTATTTATACCCTAATAAAGGCAAGAGTTCAATTCTCAGATCACTATTTCCAGTAAAAAAAAAGATAAGAAGTAGCAAAGTTTTTGAAATTTGAGCATTAAAAAATTAACAATTTAATTTCCTCAAAAGACGGTTCCATATCTGTACATGAGATATTTGCCACTTGATAAGGAATTATTGAAGGCATAATTTTGCAATTTTATTTTATTTATAAGTGTCCTAGTTTCCGAGAAATATATTTTTTTTTAATTTCGATTTTTAATTTTTTTCTCCAAATATCGGCAAAAGTGGAACATGGATTTAGTACAGAAAGGTTCTATAAGCCAAGTTCTATCACCCATAAAAAAATCAGGTTTCACTTTTGCGGTTTTAAGAAGTTATAACAGAATTTAGATAAAGGTCAACTTTCATGATCTAGGATTGTCACAAAGGTCAACTATGAGTTAAATGAAAATGTTAAATTTTTTGTTTGTTAATTAATACCGTCAATCAATTGAATAAATAAACAACACTTGTGGACGAATATAATATACTTACATATACTAGGTACCCACCTAATGTAGATGTATAATGTAGGAATACTTTATGTTTGTTCGACCACATTTTAACTTTGTACCTTACACGCTAAACGGTAACGAAAAAATGAACTATGTTGCTTGAAAAAAATTTCAAAATTCATTCAGAATCATTCTGGCATTCGATCAGAAAATAAAAACAAATCTTGGGCATAAATCAGTTAGTAGGTGTAACTATTATTGTTACAAAAAAAAACGTAGAGGTAAGCAGGCATGAACTTGTGTCTAATTGGGTCTCCAAAACACACACAAAACAAACAATTAATAGTTAATACTCAGACCCGAAAACGAAAATCGATATTCATTATAATAACTTCCGCCTTGACTGGGAATCACCATAAGCGTTCCTTTTTTGCAAATAGAGCTTGGAGCCCATAAAAATATGTTAAAGGTACTGTAGTAAGTTCCTAAAATCTACATTATTGTAAACTCGTTCAAAACTAATACACAAATTTATATTTTAAAAATTTTCGTTCGAGGTCAGGTTCGGTGTCAACCCTAGCATAAAAATTTAAAAATAAATATCTTCTAATCGCCGCAAATGTGACACGTGGCTTATTTATGTATGAAAGACCACATCCATAGGTTTATTTCTATCGAAGTTCTAGGTTCCACTTTTTCGTTTTTAGGGAGAAAAAACAATAAATACGAAATACAAAAAAAAAATTGCTGCTCCCAAACCAATGCATTTTTTTAAGCTAAAGAAACGCGTTTATACGCCTCTGATTATGCCCGATTGACACATATTTATTAAAAAAATATATTGTTAATATTCACTTTATAAAAAAATATTCTAGATTTCATAGGTCAAAGGTCACGATAAGTTCATGATTTTTTTTCTCAAAAAGTATTTGAGTTAGACTTCTGGGAATTGAACTCATGCCTTTTTTAGGGTATAAATAATCTATTTATGTAAAAACCTGAACATGTAATTTTTTTTGGTTCCATAAAACACTGTGCAATGGTAATAGCAAAGTAGACCTTCAAATTGAAAAAGAAAAACATTGAGCAAAGCACTTTTAAATGTTTTTATTTATAAACATTTTATAGCCATAGAGAGCCTAACCCAGACAGAAATTTTCAAGCATATCACGAAATCGGTAATAAGATAGATAAATACTTCGCATGTTTTAAAATAAACTATAGTAGCTATCAAATTTATTATAAATATCGTCAGATACAAATGTAAATAATATAAAAGAGCAACCAAATAAAATCTAACTAAACGGTAACAAAGGCGTTAATAGCCTACATTCAAGCTGTTTCCAAAAACGCATTTGAAAAAGTCGATTTGTATCGCACGCATAATACACATTTCAGTCATAATCAAAACGAATTTATATGGTAATTTTAAACTTTTCAGATTCTTTATTATCTCGGTATGTAGACAAAGGCAAGACCAAAATATTCGAAGTTTATTCGTAAGTATTTAAGATGCGAGACGAGCATTTTTTTACGAATATCCCCCATAGAATACGTATCGTTCATTCATTCTTGAAATATCCAGTCACGTGCTGTTTTTATTCGTGGTTAGTGAAGCAACAACAGTGAATAATGTAAGTTTATGATGATTAAAAAGAGAGATCGAAAGTTTTGAGTGTTGCACTATGATGGCATGGCAATGTCGATAAACATGCTTCACGAAATACACATTTTTTATAATTGGATAAATATTTAATAAGAAAAAAATGCGATGTCACTTGCGGTAAAGTCGGTAAAATAAAATAAAAATATCCCCGGATACCTGGGGCCTGATTTCTTATGTGATGCCATTTATTTGAAAAATGTCAAATAAACGATAGATAAACTTATCTTTTCAAATTACTGACTGAACCTGTCTGTATCCTCTGTTCACGTATGTATCTTTGATTAGGTATGAGGGATGTGACGTGACACCTTAAATTAAAGCGTGAATCGGAAAATAACGAAATTACAATGTATGGTTTCTTCTATTTTTGATATTTTCCACGAAATGCATTTTTGTTTTGCGATTTTTTCCTCACAGTTACCTATGGGTTATTTTATTAGGAATGAATCCACCGATGTTAACCTTCATACTTTTTTTTCTAGATCGGGTCGAGGCGCGGCGTACGCGTGTTCCGAGGGCGAAGGCAACGCGCCCAAGTCCTGCTGTGGGCGGCCGCCGCTGAGACTATGCGTGCTGTTCCTGGGTGTGGTGGGCGCGTGCCTCGTGGCCGCCGGGGCTGTTCTCGGAGCCCTACGGCCGCACCCAAGAGCACCTCTAACGTTGCTCCTATTAATGATAGGTAAGCTTACATATTACACCCAAGTCCTGCTGTTGGCGGCTGCCGCTGAGGCTGCGCGTGCTGTTACTGGGCGTGGTGGGCGCGTGCCTCGTGGCCGCCGAGGCTGTGCTCGGAGCACTACGGCCGCACCCAAGAGCACCTCTAACGTTGCTCCTATTAATGATAGGTAAGCTTACATATTATACCCAAGTCTTGCTGTTGGCGGCTGCCGCTGAGGCTGTGCGTGCTGTTCCTGGGCGTGGTGGGCGCGTGCCTCGTGCCCGCCCGGGCTGTGCTCGGAGCCCTACGGCCGCACCCAAAAGCACCTTCAACGATGCTTCCATTAATAATAGGTAAGATTATTTATTAACCTCTATACCTATTTACCTTTCATCGAGCTCCTCGAAGGCACAAGTGGTTAGCACATTCGGTCTACGGTCGTGGAAGTTAAGCAAATTTCATCGGACGGTGATTGGATGGGTGACCAAAGTTTAGTATCTGAAACTCCTCCATGCTGCGGAATGCACGTTAAGCCGTTGGTCTCGGCTGCGTCTGCAGTCGTTAGCACCCACTAATCCGCACTGGGTCCGCGTTACGTAAATTAATACTATAAAAGTTTTTTAGGAGAATAAAATTTGAGTTTGCTGCGAGTGATTTATATATCAACTAACATGCTCGCTAGAGTTAAACCATGACGTTGATTTAACTGATTTACATTCACGCACTCACAGTGACCTCGTAAATATAACCGACGTCCAATTCAATTGTAAGCTGTTCTATTTCATTCAGTTCAGCAGACTGCTGATATAAGTCTGTTAATATACAATGCATTTAGGGTTACATTTCAGACCGAAGCTCTGCAGAAAATCTATCTAAATTCTTCAATGTTTATGGAATTACAGAAAATAAATAATCATTATTTTTGAATGTGAGAAATTTTACATGTTTTACGTGTAAGATTTAATGTTTAATACGTTAGGGAGGTACTACTTCCACTAATAATTACACGAAAAGTAAATTTCAGAATAAAATATGTACTTTAATGGGTAAGTGGGGTAAACTTTATAAAATATCCTACACGCGATTCTAGTGATATATTTTTTTTTTAAAGAAAACAAATGATAAATTAAAATACAGTCGAAAGATAGTAAACGGTAAATAAACAAATAATATATAACTAAGTAGGTAAGTGCATTCTTTCGTAAATATTCGAAAGTAGAAAAATTCCAACAAGTCGGTGGGAAGAATCAGATAACGTAACAAACAAAATAAAACAATGGGCCGATGAGGTGCAAAGCTGCTCATTTGTATAAAAATTCTTCAAAGTCTTTGATCATACCAGTTTGTGGCTCATTTCATGCTCAGTCGTGTTTTTATTTCATAGCTGATTAAAGTTATCCGCTCTGCTGAGCAATTCAACAAAACGGAACTAGAAGGACAGGGCAGACAAGTACCTACCTACTTATTTATACCGGCTTATTTAATTTTGCAGAGATTATGGTAAGAAAGATTGATAAATATACATATCAGTCTTTCTTACCATAAGTAGGGTCAAGTGGGAGACATTGTAACATGGGGTACAGTGTAACATAAGGAATATATCTGCCCTTTTCTTATTTGTCTATGGCCTGTCTTGATGTGCTAGTTTCATATGCCGCCATCTTAAACAACTATTATCAGACGTCTAAATGCCTGGTATAATACCGATATTCCTAATGTTACAATCTCCCCCACTGGACCTTAATTCTTCTTTCTACTTCTTCTTTAATGACATACATATAAGTGTAGAAACAACATTAAAAACAAAAATGTAATAATGGCGTAAACATTACATTTTGATGAAAAATTCATAGTTTTCAAAGTGAGTTTAACTAGCATTTTTCGTAGCAACAGTCAAAAAATCCGAGATTAATGTGATTATGTAACTGTACCAAAACATAACCCAGGAACACTCCGAGTCACTTATCTTAGAGAGAGGCGTTCTAATATCCATAAATGGGCAAAACATCGTGCGGGAATCATAATATATGGCCGTGATTAACCGTGTAACAATGTCGGAAGCTCATTGGGTATTCGCACTGCATATGACAATAACAAGTCTGTCCAAAATTTCATTACATCATTCACAAAGTCGAGTCCGCCCCCCCGAAATTTTCAATTAAACTTCGAATGAGTTTCGAAGCAGAATTAATTGGATTTTCATTACCGTTAGGGACAAATGATGTTGTTGTTACAGACAAGCGATCTATTGTCGGGGGTAATTTGTAAGCGTCATCGTCAGTCAGCTGGTGTGCAAACTTCAGGCACGCATGGTACCGGGCGGCGCGATGTCGCGTCGCGTCGACCGCGTGAACTATTGTTGTCATTGGTCAAATATTTCACAATTTAATGAGATTTTGTTTGCTACCAACGTACCTTTATGGAACTTTACTAGTCAAACTTAGAGGCTGATAATGGTAAATGGTTATAAACATTTTAATACATACATAGCTTAAGTAAAATATAAAAAGGACACAATGTATAAATTCCAATTTAGAGAGAGTAGTTTTTAGGTACCTAAAAAAATTAAGAGAGTTAGGGCATACCGGATTTCCCGCTTGAATGGGAGCGCCCGTTTGGGGAAGTAATCTCTCGTGTCGTGCTTCTGTCGGTGAGTAAGGTTCCAGGTCTCCACGGGGTAGGGGATGAGGTCGCGAGACGCGAGTGATATTTTTTGTATCACAAGCGTCTATAGGCTATGGTAGCCGCTTACCATCGGGTGAGCCATAAGCTTGTCTGCCACCCTTTTAACATATTTTTTTAATTTTGGTCTGGCAACTATTCTGCTTTCTCCACGTTGCCGGTATGAATCCAATCTTCCTCAATAGAACCCTGGAAACTTTACTAATTGACATAATCGTAATACTACCTAAAAGTAGTGCTCTTATACTGTGATCATCTGTAAGGTGAAGGTAAATCTAAGCTAAATAAGGTATGCCCTAAATATCTTGAGAGTGGCGGTTTGAATAGGGTAAACTGATGCTTATAAGATGTACCTTACTCAACATGTTTTTGTACTCTCTGGTACTTTGCTATCACACAAGCTTTGCTATCACACAAGAGATGCATAACATAACCCCCACTTTTGTTATCCTGGCTGGGTATAAAATATAATGTTTTAAAAAATGCGGAACTAATCTATTACGTGTTATATTGCACATTTTCGTATTAGGCAAAGTCATTCCCCTAATTAAGAAATGATCAGGCATTGCTTGTGAGCACGAATAATTAACAACAGTTGGTAAAATTCAGCTGATATCGGGGTACTTACCTACTCATGGTAATACGTTCCGCAACGAATTGGTTATTGTTTCATTATCGACTTCTTTCGTGCCCGCACTCACCATTGACGCATGATGAAATTTTATCGATTACTTTATTCTTTCACCCTGAAAAGTATTAAAAAATGTGATGTAATTAAATTTAGACGAAGTTCGCTATCTCAGTATTTTTTTTTACTTGAAGTTTTAGTGATTAAATATTTTCTTATTAGGCCTATGTTTAGAACTTGATTAATGGGAATGGGTTTGGTTGTGATCTGTTAAATTAATTTAATTTGTTGCCGACCATCTTACCTTAAATAGCATCATCATTATCTCTGAAGTTCAATGCATGCTCATAACAATTTTCAAAACGAAGCTTATTGTGTATGGGTAACGGTCACCTTGATTAGAGCGATCTCGATCAAGTTGATCATAGCATTGTTAGTTTCGATTTCTTACACAAATGTAAAAAAATATGTTGCTTATTTCCAGGTATAGGTGTGGTATTGGTGACGGCAGCCGTCGTGGCGTGGCGGCTAGGTGCCCGCGACGCTCCTTGCGCGCTGTTAGGGCTGCGGCGGGCGTCCTGCCGTCGTCTCGTGCCACGGTTACCGCCGAGCTACGCGCGCCCGCACCATCCATACGCGGCCATGCTGTACCCGGAGTTCCACTACAGACCACCGCCGCCAACGTACCAAGCTTCCATGCAAGAGTATAGACTCAGGTACATACCTATGTTAGTATATTTTTGTTTTATCACCAAATAGTCGACTCGTGCCATGGTTACCGCCGAGCTAAGCGTGCTTACTACCCATACGCGGTCATGCTGTACCCGGAGTTCTACTACAGACCACCGCCGCCAACGTACCAAGCTTCCATGCAAGAGTATAGACTCAGGTACATCCTAATGTTAGTATATTTTTGTTTTATCACCAAATAGTCGACTCGTGCCATGGTTACCGCCGAGCTAAGCGTGCTTACTACCCATACGCGGTCATGCTGTACCCGGAGTTCCACTACAGATCACCGCCGCAAACGTTCCAAGCTTCCATGCAAGAGCATAGATTAGACTAAGTAATGCGAAGTGTTTTATTGCTATAACAGCCCACAGCCACTACCCATAAACGGCCATGCTGTATCCTGAGTTCCACTACAGACCACCGCCGCCAACGTACCAAGCTTCCGAATGCGAAATGGATAAGTTTCATTTTTATACCAGGGGTGTACCACCTTGGATTTACCACGTCAATGTGTTTTGCATTAACTTAATGTTATTCTCGAAATTTAAAGCACATTAAATATTGATTAAAAACGCGGAACATTCAAAACTCCATATAATTTGTACTAAATAATCATAATGTTTAAAGCGAATTAATCAAATTCTATAATTCTATATAATTAAATAAATTAGTCAAAATTTACATTAAGCAAATGCGAAATATAGTTACGTGATAGATCTCGGGCTCTAGTAAATTAACACATACTCGCTTGAGTTAAGTACCAGTGCCATCTAGTTCCGATGGTGCGGCGGAACAGCGCACCGCCAACCAACCAGTCTCGCTATGCTGTTTATAGCAAGACCACAAAAAAGGGTTTTTGGCTGGAATCTTCTTTATGATGCAAGTTACTACTCTGGAAATGAGCCCTTAATCAGACGAAATTCAGTTTGTTGTACCAGCTAGGGAAGTTGAAAAGTAATTTCTGAACATTTTATCGTAGTTATTAAAATACACAAGTGAATTAGGCTAATGAGCTGATTCCCAATTGCTCGCATAATAATTGATTTGATTTTATCATCTTGTCATTCTAACAATGACTTTTATTTTTCTTTAAAGCTAAAATATAAACAATGTATGTATTTAATACGCAAAAGCTTTATTTACGTAATAATCCGCAGAATTGAACTGACGGTCGACTTAAATTACCTAGGCTCCTCAGATGCCAGCCAAGGGATTTTCATGTACTTAAATCACCTGGGAGATTCACCTCGGGTAATTTAAATTGAATAATTATCTCAGTAATAATTCTAAGTCTTTGTGATAAAGGTATAAGAAAATGTACATTGGTATTTCTATATATTTTCATCTATCTGGAAAGGTCCATTTTATTTAGCAAAGCTATTTTAAAAATATTATTACATAATTGAACGCTGTGAAGTTTTTCTGCATAGCCAAAAATGTCCATAGCAGGTGGTGGGGAAAAGTTCTGACGATGCAAAAGAATCGTATTATACTTCCAATTTGAATAAAGTTTTGAGTTTGATATAAAAAATATCAGTTTAATGCATAAATTAAAATTGAACATTTTGATTCCTCAACTTACAATTTTGTCAATGGACTGAGAATATACCTTAGTTTTTATTATCAAAATAACGAACATAATAATCGTCAAGGAATTTCTATTTGTGTACCGACCGACTGATATTTTGTGGGTATTCAAATAGAATTTAATAAATTTATAAGTTAAAACATGGATTTTCCATATTTCAGACGGCTTACTGAACATTTCAGTTTCAGCGAAAAACAATTCTCGAATTAGTTACGTATTCAAAACAAATGAAAAAAAAAACTGAACCTGCGGTAACTTGCGGCTTACCTATTTCAGCAAAACTTCCCGCCGGAGTTTCGAAGTTGAATGGCTGTTGAACAAATGTTTTCATTTCAGGTTACTTCTCCTGGATAGAAGTGCGCCCGCGGTGTCTCCGCCTCCTACGTACAGGTCAAATTCAGCTAGTCTAGTCAGGTAATTTAAGTTCTTAGTTTATTGAAGTTATACTTCTTTAGGCGCGTTATGAAAAAATGATGAGAGTGAAATTTTAAGATGCGCGCGCATCACTGTAACACAAAAAATTAACAGCATGAAGTTGGTCGCTTTAGCGTTACATGCTGTTACTTTTGTGTTTACCGCACATTAAGAAAATCTACCAACAAAATAGAAATAGAATCTCTATTTTGTGGGTGCTAACGACTGCATTGTGAAGGCCTATCAAAAGTATTTATTAATCTGGAACAACGGAACCAAAGCGCGATTCAGGAGACTACAGCGCTTTCTCTTGACCATTGGTGTAGTAGAACCAAAAACCACATCTTTATTTTTTGTAATAAAGTAACAAAAAGTATTTATTAATCTGGAACAACGGAACCAAAGCCCGATTCAGGAGACTACAGCGCCATCTCTTGACCATTGGTGTAGTAGAACCAAAAACCACATCTTTATTTTTTGTAATAAAATAACAGTTATAGGTATTCATATTTATAATATTTATCCACATGTTTCTAGTTTGTATATTCGGAATACGTGTTTGAGTTTCATACAAGTGCAAATCACATTATGTTCTAATAAATTATATTCAGTAGCGATTTTAATTGAATATTTTGATTATTTATTTATTTTTTCAAATTAAAACTGAACTTTATTGACTGTGTCCTTTTCCAGACTTTTTATTAATTTATTGTAATTAATTATTTGCATGCAATTAAAAACAAATTTTAAACGATGCCAAAGAAGGATAACTTCTCACGCGCCATTTTTTTTTATTCATTTTTATGCTGTTACTGGTGTCGAATCTTGCATGATTATCCTAAAATCCTCCTTATCTCTTAATCTAATCCTCCTTCTCTATGCATATTGAAAAGTGACAGACTGACGTAAAATTTTGCTTTATGTTTAAAGAATCATGCCAGAAAAGAGACACTACTATGTAGTTAGTTTTAGTATTAATGTAGAGAATTATACTAATACGACCAGTTTCAATAAACAACATTTAGTAAAAGGTAACTTATTCTGGTTTTGTTTCATAGTAAAGGTTTTTATTTTAATCTTAATAATTAAAATACTTATCTAGGACACTAAGGCCCACTTGCAGCAAATTAGCTAAATCTCGATTCAACTATGGGTAAATCTAGTTTATTTTACCCATAGAAAAATGTTAAAATTGCTTTTTTTATATTGTTTAAATCTAGTTTTAGTTGAATAGAGATTTAGATAATTTGCTGCAAGTGGGTCAAATTTCTAATAGGCTTTTCTCTCGCTGTAGTTGGTTTATTGAAATTAGCTATTAGTACAGTAAGCGACAGATCATTAGCACAACCTGTAAAACTTTGTCGATCGATTTTAAAACTTATATCAAGCTAAAGAATGCTAATGCAAATTGCCGACACAGGCAAGCCGCTTACAGTGTGACCAACTGTGCGATACGTCTGTTCATTAGGATTACTTAGTCATTTAGCGAGAAGCTTGGCGATATGCAAGTATCTACATAGCTTGACATTAACTTCAAAGTCAGTTAAGAACATTTACAGATTTGAATAGCTTCACCTGTTATTGTATTTACTATCGAACAAATTGATTCCTAACAAACTTGCTCGATAATTGGCTTACAAATGTCACAATAGTTTTCTTTTATAGAATACGTAACTAGCTGTACTTAGAAACTTCTAATAACAAGGGAATTAACAAGTATTCATCAAAGAGTTTTGAAATTTGATCTTTGTTTTCAATGTAATAGATCCTTTCAGGTAAATATAACAGAAACTCTTTCGATTTCTTGACATTAAGAAAAACTAGTAGTTTATGGGCATAACTCACAAATAATGCAACGTCAACACTTTGGCATAGGGAGGCGGCAAAATCTGTCACGTCATATATGATTGTTCTGAAAATAACTAGTTTGTTCCCAGAAATACGTATATTTATGCGAAAGTCCACCTTATTGTTTTGCAATAGTTGTTAGCAAATCAGCTGACCCAACATAAGCTTATATTGGGTCAGGTATCTGATTGGCTGATAGTACTTAACATTAACAATAAAAACGATCAACTGTCCAAAGCTTACTTTTGTACGTGACTGTACAGACTACTTACTAAAGAATTTTTATAAGTTTTCTTTTGTTCATTTTCCGGAGCTCATTTTAGGTAATACTGAAATATTTATGAAAAAGCTAGATGTCCTCTATTTTATTTTGAAATTTATCGTCTGTTTTAGGCAAAACATCTAATTTATTATTTCAGTCAGCGAGCTCCGTATTTTATTAGATAAAAAATAACGAAGCAATAATTTTTTTTATCATCCATAAGAAAACTAAAGGAAGGCGTTTTCAATTTATTAATAGTCAAGTTACTTCGATTTCAAAAATATTACTTTGAAATTGAGTTGGTGTAGATAGGTTACGTACATAGCGTAAGTCTAGAGACATTTCCTTTTAGCGGATATATGTAATATTCATTTCAATGTTGAAGATCTGCAAAGTCGAGAGGCGAACACATCGAACTTGGTGTGATTTGTTGCCATCAAGTCAAGTTCGATTCGACGACGTTACAATAATAATATAGCAAATTAACTATTGATTTAAGTTATTAAATTACTATCTAAAAGTAAAAAGTCGCGAGAGATAATTCATCTAAATAATTATCGATCCATATTTTTCCGAACGGGATAGGTAACCGAGCGCCTCATGGTACGATCTGTCCTTACTGTGTGTTAGGATCACCGTGCTGTTGGGATCCTTTACAATACTTTACATCGATGTTGTGTCCAATATGTATTTTATATCATCAATAGCATTAATGACCCTACTGCTGGGGCACAGATGGATTTCTTGGGAGCTAAAGACTGTAGATGCAGCTTGAACCAACGAAAACGTGTGATTCGAAGCACGGAGAAGGAAATTTTTTGGTCACTCATGCTATAAACCCTTTTACTTCTCTGCACTGGGCCTACGTGGTAGGCCACGGTCTAAGCTTCCTATTTTATCCATAGGGAAGGCCTCTGCCCCAGCAACGGGAACACTAATAGGTTGATGATGATGCTATGACCGGCCAATGCAAAAGTTGCTCAATTTCCACGATCACGGACCGAATGCGCTAACCACTGCTCTAACAAGGTCCTTGATACCAATCCGTTTATTGATAAAAATCGTCCACAGAGGTTCAACTGGCGCGGCGTGGTGCGGCTCCGAGTACAGCGGGCCGCCATCGTACCGCGCGCCCCGCACCGACCCCCCCGTCACGGTCACAGACTCGTTGCCGACGCTCGCGCCACTCGACCTCAAATACGCCGACGACGCGCTCGAATCGCTTCCCAAGCCCACTGAACAGGAGAAGGACCCCGACGAGCATCTCGTCACCATAGTCCACACGGACGCGCAACCCGTCATCGTCACAGTGTCGGGATCGACCGCCCTCAACGAAACGCACATGGCCCACGCGCCGCCTTCAGAAATCGACATACTCGCTCACTTATAACGAACTAAGTCTTCTAGCGTATCTCCGAAGGCTTGTGAGCGAAAACGCACGCGCCACCCGACGGTCGCAGTGCGATTTGTGGCAGTGATTTGTAGTACTAAAATATTATCTCGAATTTGGGGAAAGGGAATATCATAATAAGCTCATGAAATACACATCAAACCCGAGGAAAATCGTTTCATCAAAACCCGATTTCTGTTATACATAAACCATAATTAACGGTTAACAATACAAAATTTACATAACAATGAATTGTTTTGTCTAACGAGATACTAAATAACTTTTTGTAGACATTATCATAACCTTATTTTTACAATTTATAATATTTCTAGCTTCGAATAATATTCCCTTTATCTGAAAGTGTAATCGTTTCAAGTACCTTATTTTATTGATTATAAGTTATGTAAATAAAGCACTGAGGTATATTTTATTTGATTAGATATTATAGTTATTTTAACAAAGTATGTGCCGTGTATATATACAAATAAAAATGTTAGCAATAAATGAAATCGAGCGTACGATTAGTTTCAAGCCAAATTTTTTCACCGAAATGTACAATGTACGAGTGAACTTGTTTCAAATAGTGCCAATGGTTGTTTTATTTGGTATTCATGCATAATATCGAAAACCAAAATGTTGATCATCAAAAAGCTACGCCAAATGGCTTAATACACAATTTGTCTATAGCAAATCAGGTTTCGTACACTCAATTGGTAAACTTTTGATGTAACATTTTTATCGACGATTTCTTTGTAGTCGACGATTTGTCGTTGATCTATTATTGCTTGACTTTTGGTTTTCGGTAAAGCATGCGAAGCCTGTGTTTAATTATTTATATGCTGTACATAAAATATTCAAGCGGTATATTTATACGAATCTGAAAGCCAAATGTATCGAATATATTGTTTGATGTATAAGACAACCTCGCCGATAATTTTATTTATCGAACCACCTAAATATATTTTTTTGCTTAGCTAATTTATTACTCCTGCAGTTTTATGTTTCTTTGGTAAACTAACAGTTTAAAAACACTTCACATAATTATGCAAGTATGTCAAAATTGTATTATTTTACACTATAATTAAATGTTAATAATTTAAGAGCAATAATTATGTTATGCTTAGGCAACTTTGTAAATATTGATGGTTCACATCTTATCTTGTATCTTACATGATATAAAATAACTTTCATGTTTTAAAAAAATATTTTTACCCTGATTAACTAACACAATGTACTTACATTCTCAAAATTTGAAATTAGATTGGCATGAAATTCACAATAGATTATCAAAGTATAATTTATCAACAATGTTTACACCGAACGATTAAAAAAGTTACTTAATTTTAAATAAATATAACAGATATTCATTTTTATTAGAATAGAGATAAGGATAACACAATGTTGCTTTAAGTGTTAAGGCCCCTGGTTTCTTATTATCATTCTGAACTAATACAGATTGCAACATTTAACTGGATAAAAACTCTATATATATAATTTAGCAGAGAGTTATTTTATTTCAACAAAAATGATGCAGTACTGAAATTCTGGAATACTGATTCACGATCATTGGAAAACTGTACTGTTTAGTATTTTGTAACATAGTACCTACATACTGTTACTGTTAATATTATAAAACATTATTGTAATTATTACGATGTACATAACGTTATTTGTATTATAAGATAATAAAGATCTTTAGTGAAACCAACTTTTCGTTTTTCTTTCACCATGTGTAACGTGTAACAAATTTATTCAAAATGAAATTGCCATAAAAATTTAATGCAGCGCTAGGACTGCAGAAAAAAAAATCAGTGCCGACTTGTATCTACTTGACGATGTCTAATATAATCATAATCAAAATCATTTATTCAGTTTATGCTGTTACAAGCACTCATGAATGTCTATAAGCTACTCCATCGGTTCGTAAAGCTACGGCGGGAAACCTTGTACTGAGAAGAAACGGCAATAAACTCTGTATTATCATTGTCTGTTAACGAAAACAAAGAAGTTTATTATTATAACTCGAAATTTTTGGGGGCTATGCATTCTTCGATGGAACTGCACGTACGCCGTACTAATATGTCGTAAGCAGTAGGTTAATAGTTCATTTGAGGATTAGAGACCCACATTCATATAAGTGTTTTGGTGTTTCAAGCTTCTAACCAGAGGGAAGCTCAACGTAATGTTACACCAGCATATTTAGGTGTATCGCAAGTAGCTGTACCTGCATTATTTAAACAAACGTTTTCTACTGCTTAAGAACAATAATAAATCAATTTAAGCTAAGAGTAACCAAACACAAATTTTGGGTAGCCCTTTTATTTATTTGCTTTGACTTTTACCTACTGACTTAGACAAATAATTAGTCATTTATCCTGTATTCATTTTCAATATTAGGTAAGTATATTTGTGAAATGAGGTCGGTTTTTTTTTGTAAACGATTGAATCCTTTCACGACCACTGCCAATCCCTCGTTTGTCGACGTAAACCAATTTCAGAAATAAATCGAAGCGCATTGTAACCGGTTCGCAATGGTTCCCTATAATTATATTGTAAAGTAATTTTGTCGTTCGAACAGCCCCGCGAAAATGAAATCGGTAGGTAGCTAGCCACCCACATAAAACACGAATACTGGATATAAAAGTAGGTAAATGTACCTATACAGAAAATACATATGACATTGAGACTGTAACAAAGCAAAAATTATGAATGAATTCAAATTCTTTATTAAATTTTTCGGCAAAGGAGCGTCACGTCGTCAACATACTTGGTCGCATTTTCTGAGGATTTTCTTAATCTCTTTATCACTACCGTTGGCGCCTACAGACTTTCATGTGAAATGGAAATGTATTATAGGCGTTGTTTGATTGATATATTTATACTTAACATGGTTAACAATGGCACATTCTTAACCATTCACTGGTGAACAGTACAGGGACAGGGTCAAAATTATTTTCAGGCTTCTATTAGAGACCAATCAATCCCAAATGTATCATCTCACGGTTAAACAGATACCTACAACCTGCTTTGTCAGACGGCTGGACGAACGGAGAAAGGAGTATTTTTGTTATGTTAAAAAGGTGGAAGCTGCCACCAGAGCCAATAGACGCTTGCAATACAAAAAATGTCTCTCGCGCTGTTTGCAATACAAAAACTGTCACTCGCGCTGTTGCCTACCCTGACCCAATACCCTACCCAGTGGAGCTGGAATCTTACTCACCGACAACTTCACCAAAACGTAGGTGTTATTTTACTATGGTCTTCTGTAAGATGGACGTTACTTCCCCAGACGGGCGCTCCCATTCGACCGAGAAATCCGTTATGCCCTACATCTCTTATAGGGTTTCCTTTTTATCCACTTGAGTATGGAATCGTTAATAAGTAGGTATTATGCTACTACTTTAACTATTACCTATATTACTTTTTTGGTGTACACAAATAAAATAAACCATTATAACAGAAAATATAACATTTTCACAGGGAAAACAACACTAACTAGGTACCTACTTATATTTTCACAGTTACAAGCAGTTTTCTCCAGCACATTAGCTATCTATTGCCGACTCATATTTGAAGAGCGATTGAGGGTGGAAACCTTTTTTATATGGTACGATTATAAGAATCGTAGTCATAATGGCTGTTTTATTTTTTATTATTAACATTTGTCATTTTAATGAACAATTTGGGCAGAAGCAATTTAGTATATTGCTTGCAACTTATTTTCATAATTAGGTAAACTATTTTTGTTAAATTTTATTTAATAACTTATAATTGATTTTAACACAAAACTGCCTAGTCTAAAATTAGTAGAAAAACTATTTTTCTTAGAGCAAATTCAAAACTTCTTGGAAAAAATACAATATGCAATTCTTAACATATCAAATAGTTATGGTCATAATATGAAACTTTAAGCATTTGCCCCGAAATGCTTAAAGTGCTTAAAGCAACTGGCGTTTTCTATAATTTCTTAATCAGTGATTTCTATTTTATTATTTTAAATTCAAAGCAACTCTACCTCCTCTCCTAATTTCAAGTGTGAGTGGAAGCGACTTGTAAAGATAGCTGATGAGGTAAAATTGACAAGGAACTTTAGCCACCCTGAACCGATGGCCTACCCTGTGACAGCTACGAACTATAGAAACACGTACTATTTTTAGAGTAGGTAATATTTTTCTCTAATCTCCGGTAATCTTTATAGTAGTAGTCGGTTACTACGCGTGTCCTGGAACGCCATATAAATATTTGTAGCTACGCGCACCCTCTATGAATAGCTGAGTATGGTTTTGGCGTTCCAAGGCGCATACCCTGAAAGCCTGGAACGCGCTATATGTACGACGCTGCATGGTCGTAGCAGACATATTAACTCAGACAGAAATCGTCACCGTGTCAACTCGAACCGTTCAGTATTTTTTGTATGAAGCTCCCTACTGAAAGGTACTCACTCCTGACTGACTAACTGACTCCCTACTAATCGGAATCGTAACATTATCGCCTTGCCACGGCCAAGCTCGTCTCCCGAGGCAAAGTGATTACGTTACGATCCTTTAAAAGACCAAATTTATCATAAGGTATAAAAGTCACAAGAATCGCTATTGAATGTAGGAGATGCTGAGAAATGATTTATTGACTCGGCGCGTCCCGGCAGCACTAATGGCGCCTGAATAAGTGCCAGTGCAGCCTGTTTGTTATTTTTAAACTTGTTAAGGGCAAAGGAAATTCTGCCATTCAAAGGCAGTTAAAGTTAAATGTACCTGTTTCCTAACTAGATTTACTTGTTTACTTTACTTTCGATAGATCTTATTGAAGTATAGTTGTCTTGGTCAGTTTACCATTTTTATATAAGATTTAGCAAATTACTTTACCTCGTCAGATATTAAGTGAAAGTGGAGTCCAGATTAAAAAAATCGTAGGTAGTTATTAATACTGCACAAAAATGTGTCCTACAGTGTCACTCCAGCCATTCCCAATGTAAAACACCATACATAATAATAATAATAATATAATAATAATCTTTATTTGTTTTTCCACAATCTACAAATTACATGACAACTTACTATAATTTTATATCAGAACAATAAAATAGATCGTGGGAGACTGGTGCCTGAACTAGGCAGAAAGCCTGTATCTCAGAGCACCAGGACTCTCCCTCCCCTGGAGAATGCACATTTAGCAAATTATAGGGTCATCTTACGTTTAAATTTAAATTGTAGGTATAGGATGAGAAGAACACATTTTATTTCAATTGTGACACGATTACCTTAAAATAAAAATAAAACAAAGCTTAGACCAAACAAAGCCTACAAGCAACAATTTGATTTAATGTTATAACTATAATGAGTGTGGAAGTATATTCGGTACTTAAAATGTGAAAGCATGAGAGGGATAAGGTTAGGCTTAATTATCTATGGATGTGTAATAAACCTTCCGTTTCTAAGTATGTTTGGGAATGTAAGAATTTAGTAACACAGATTTTACAATTTCTGTTTGTGTAGTGGACAATGTTTAATTTTGAGTGCAACAAATTATAGCAGTAAGGGCCCAGAAAATAAAAGAAACGGTGTGCAAAATTAGTTCTGCACCGAGGCGTGGCAGCTACAAGATGATTACGCTGAGCAGAGTGCCGGGAGGGATCCACCGCGCTGTATTGTTTGAGAACAGTATATAGTTTAAATAACTGTCGGACGTTTAAAACTTGGCATATTTGATATAGTTCTGTAGTTGGGAATAAAATAGGTTTGTTAATACATATTTTAAGTACTGCTCTTTGCGCACGTTCGAGCTTTATTAAGATCGATTTAAAGGTACCTCCCCACGAGGTGATGCAGTATGTAAGGATAGATTCGCAAAGGGCTTTATAGACCGATAGAACCAGAGTCAAATCAGCTACATGACGAAGATTTTTAAAGACGTACATTAGTTTGCGTAATCTACCTGCAATGAGATCTTCATGTGCAAGGAACGTTAGCTTGGAATCCACAGCAACACCCAAATATTTAACAGTGCCACATGCCTCCAACGGAGGACAGGCACATGCATTTATTGAAGAGTTAGGATGGCAGTGGGCTATTAACGAAAGATCCTTAATCAATTTTGGTGGAATATTTTAATTGACATTATCATATATTGGGTCTTAAGGATATTCAAAGTCAGAAGGTTATTTCGAAACCAGCAGGATACCTGATCGAGACCATACTGGGCGTGGCGGAAGGTCTCCTTCCATGAGCCAGATGAGAAAATCAGTACAGTGTCATCAGCGTAAGAGATGATCTTGCAGTTGGGAATTTGTAGAGAAGTCAGGTCATTGATATAAATTAGAAAGAGGGTTGGGCCAAGGATACTTCCCTGCGGTACTCCGTATTCTATGTGGCAGTCAGAGCTCTGGATACCATTAACAGTAACGCACTGATAACGATCAGTGAGATAGCTGCTGAATAGCGATAGCTGTCTGCCTCTAACTCCCAGACTTTCTAGTTTGCTCAACATGATGGGAACAGAAACCGTGTCGAATGCTTTAGCAAGGTCTAAGAACACGGAGACAGTTTTTCTGTTCTCATCAAGGTTCCTTGCTATATGATCCGTGAGTTCGTGAACGGCATCTGCCGTAGATTTTCCCGGAGTAAAACCGTATTGCCCAGGAGCCAATGCGGATGTACTCTTTAGAAAGTCCATTAATTGGTTATTGATTAGGCGTTCTAATATTTTAGACAG